AGAGAGCAGTGAGGCCAGTCTTGCACCTCAAGGGGAATGAAAGGCAGAGAGGCAGCAGTCTCACCAGAGAGGATCCAGGGTGATCCCAGTAGCCCCCTCTTCCCAAGGCCACCAGGCCAGGCTGTACAAACAAGCAGTGTGAAGAGGACAGCTGCACACTGGGAATGGGGGTGTAGCACCTTCAGATCTGTGCCACAGACTGGGGCTGGAGGGAGGATTTTGGAGAAGAGCAGTAGCAGGGGGACTGTGCCCGGAGGAGAACGGACACAAACACAGATCTGCCTCAGAGGAGCCTTACAGGACATAGCAATTGGCTTTTTCCAGGATGAGATGTTCCCAGCCCTGCAGTTCCATCTGAGCATCAGGAAAAGTTCCCGTACTGCAGGTTACTGAACAACTTCCTCCTCTTGGTTTACTTGTTGTGGCATTCCAGAATCAGCCTCAGAGCACGAGGGACATGAGACAACCACACCCCTTCTCACCTGCTCCCCGTAACACCCTGCCCAAGGCAACACCCTAACACTAACTAGTTCAGGGACTAAAGTACAGTGCTCCTGTGCCTACAACTCCCTGCTGTAGAAGGTTAATTCCTTGTTCAAAGATCAGAAAGCAGCTTCAAGAAATGCGTTACTCACGTTACCCTGTAGGACACAGGAAACGTGAACAGAGATGGGGAAGCGCTGCCTGCCAAGGACATGCACTCGAGTCAGCATCCCCTGCCACAGGATCAGCACAACAGCAGGTGTCATGCCAGACCAAGATCAGTATGACAGGTCTCTCTACCCTTATTTTAAAAAAGAACAGGCTAACAAAGGTTTGCTGAGCCTACCTGGGAGGCGCACACGGATCTGTGCTACAGGCACGGGCATAGCAGTAAACAGGCATGTTGGCTTCTGTTCCAACAGAAACATCAGGCAAAGTTTAATGGTTCTCAAACAGACTACAACAAAGGCTGCAGGGAAAAACATTTTATTTCCAAGCAGATTACAAAGAGCAGAGAATATAAGAGTAAAATTAAATTAAAAAAATAGTTGAGTGCATCTCTTTAAAATGATTTGTAGTGTGAGTTACTCACGGGGCAAAGCTACTGGAGAGTTCTGAAGGTCACTTTGCAGGATGCCAATCACATGTGCTGTTTAGACCTGGGTCAACACAGGAGGGACAGACAAGATGTATTTTGCATATAGGCTGCACACTCATTATCAAGCGAGGTTTTGGGCTGCAACTGGACCCTGCCTTTTTGAGACATCCCCTCCACCTCATTCTCTCCTGCAGTTCCCTCGAGCTCTAGACATGGTTTATTGCTGCTGTAAGTGGGTTTAGTCTGCCTTCCCGTTCTGATGAGCTCCAATGCCAAAGGAGAAGCAGGCAAACGTGTCTGCCATGCACAAGGTTACAGGGAACGTGACTGCAGTGCCAACAGCAGAGCTTCAGCCACACAGCGAAGGAAACCGACAAGTAGGGACACAGCGATCGCTTCAGAGATTTGGGGGAAGCATGTCAGCAAGACTTCTGGAAGAATTGGGATGTTCCTTAAGGTAGGAAGAGGTATAAGCAGAGAAGGGCTCTTTTCCAGGCATTGGCATCAATGAAACAGAAGAGGCTGAATCATCAGGATAAGGTGCGTTCCCTGTAATGTTTGAGAAGAGCAGCTCCAGCAATAAGATGGGGAGAAAAGCCCCAAATAGGGTGGAAGACAGTTGATATCCCACTTTAACAGTGATTTAGCAGTCCAAGCACTAACTCCAAGTCAGTCAGTATTAAACTTGTGTAAGAATGTGGTTTGGCTGGACAGCTGCACAGTCATTCAGTGTCCAGCAGCACTCAATCTAGCAAGAGGATGAGCAACTACAGTACCAGCAATCCTCCACCCCCTGTACACTCAGGGGGCTCTTTTCTACCATTTCTGGATCTGCTCTTATCACAGCATAGGAGTATTCGAGGCCTCATCCCTTCTACATATGCCAAGGCAGACATTAGCCCTGATGCAGCTGAGAACAAGACTGTCTTAATTTCTGCCCTAGCAGCAACAGTCCAGAAGATTCTTATTTAGAAATCAGATTAAGTCTTTTTGTATTGCCAAGGCAGAACAGTTCAGGAACTACTTCAGATCTTGTGACCCCTCTGAAGTCCAGACCTCTAGGGGAGAGGCAGCTAATAAGTGAGAGCCCTATGAAGTTCTTAGACCACTCCCTTTATAAACTGCTTTAGACAGGAGTGAAGAACCACTCTCTAGTCTGCTCTCTGCTGTTTCAGCCATTACCACTTAAAGACAAAATGCTTGACCTCTTGAAAGCCAATGAAAATCGAATGGTGCTGTGGACACATGTAAGAGGCTACAAGTTTCCTTAAGAAAGCAACACTGTTAAATGTCAAGAGCTTGGACAATACACGAGTCTCATGTCAGAATGTGAGGTGCTTTACAACAGTCAGTCAGTCTCTGCTTTCTGTGGTTCCTTTCATACCACAGTGACAAGATGGGCACAGTTCAAAATCAAGAACACACGCTCTATAGCTTGACTTCTCAGCTCTATTTATTTAGAGATTGATGCATTTTGAGCCTGTCTCGTACAAGGCATAGGGCACGGAGAGTTCCTGTCAATATATACACGCATACAAGAGCAGTACAAGCAGTTTGGCACTCTCAGAGCCAAGGGGGAATGCCCTTTAAGCAGCAGTCAAGCTGGTTATAGGAAAGTGTTAAAAAGCTATTTTACATGTTTGACTGGGAACATTTCCCAGAATGTGGATAGCAACCCTAAGCCACAGCACTCTTCTGTGCTACTCTGTGCACCTCTTCCTACAAGCCCCTACAAGGGAGCAGATCATGTTCTTCACTATCAAAGAACATAGTATTTATATTCTAGAAATGCTGTACCTTTTAAACTAGCTCCAGAGGGACAGACTAGAAGCCAGATCCAGGAAAATAATCCTTAAGTCACAGTATATCGATTGTCTCTAAAAATAGGGAATGAAGTGAACACAGTGGACATTCTGATGAGACAGTACAGAACAGTGCAGCAGTCCACTTCTGCATCAGCAGATCCCCTCCTATGTACATGAGGACAATGAGAAAGAAATGGAAATGCTCCAGTCCATCAATCATCAGGAGATCTCCACAGCTCACCATGTGCCTAGCTTCCCTGTTCTTAATCAGTATCCTCTAAGGAGAACTCTTCCCCCTACAAAGACTTGAGATCATCTTGCAGTTAAGAGTAGTAAGGAAAGTGCACAATCTAGAATTTTAAGGTAACATGGAATTTTGTTTCCCCAGAAAGCTCAGCTGAAGCTCCTGTCAATGCGTAGTGTTAAGAGGTGACTCTCAAGGCTGCCCAGTAAAGCAACTGGTGCAGTGTGTATCTGGCAGATTGTTTAACATCCACTGTAGTTCTGATGGAGGCAGCCAAGGCAGCAGCCTTTCCAGCTCTGCTCTGATGATGGGACAAACTGCCCAAAGGAAAGGCAAAGCCACTCTCTGCATGCCTGTTGGGCACACCCTGTGCAGCAGGCACCTGCAACTGCTTGGAATAGTGGAGCCTGCCCCAACCATGTCTTCAAAAACTTAAAACAGGGCCAAAGATGGACATGCCAGTCACTACGATATGGTGAAAGGATCAGAGGTTTCTGACAGCTGCAGCAGTACTGCATCTTCAAAGACTTAAAACAGGGCCAAAGATGGACGTGCCAGTCACTATGGTGAAAGGATCAGAGGTTTCTGACAGCTGCAGCAGTACTGGTGATCCCCAGAGCCACTCTGCAATGGGGCAACTGCTGGCTCCCAGCAGACAAACTGAGGTCACAGTACTTGCTGCCAGCACTCACCCACCCTAAGCACCATCTTCCCAGCTTACCCACTGGGATCTGGGCAGTGATCCCAGGCTGCTTGCCTCTGCCTAGTTCTGAGGGCAGACACTGAGCTAAGAGTCTAGAACAACACAACAGTGTGCTGCTACTTCACCTCTCTGCACACACCTACTTGAGCACAGAGTCCTGTAGAGGGAACAAACTGCTCATATTGACACTAACTCAAGCACACCTGCTTCCTCAGGAACACCAACATCAATATGAAGCACCAGGGGCTTGGGAAGTCTCTCTAAGCTGCACACCTCAACACTGCTCACAAGCACAAAGACAGGGAACACTGGCTACTCTCACCAATTTACACTCTTGCACAACCAACAGAGAGGGCAGACCTTCCTTCTCAATACAGATAGGTGCTGGACAACAGAGGCTTCAGGGAAGTTGCTTGCCTGTACACAAGTTTAAGTTCTTTTACTGTAATATATATCTAAGTATTTATCTGTGTATTTTGGAACAGGGAAGGGACATGAGGTGGAGAAGCAGGGAAGACAAGTTCAAGAAGCAGAGTAATTTCTCTGCATCCAAGAAGCTGGTGGCACAAATAACAAGCCTGGCAAGTGATCTCCCATTTCAAGCACAGTTGGCTACCTGCTGGCTTCAAAAGAACAGACTATTTGTTAATGATATAAAATACAGCAACCATTTAAGATGCAGCAAGGCAACGCTACAGGGCTGGGGATTATGATCATGAACAATGCCAAAAGCTACACAGCTGTGTTAAAAACTGTGAAAAGGCTGTTAAACAGCAGGAGTAAGCCATATGCTGCTCCTGGAAGGCCTTTTCCCACCACTACCCCTCCTTCATGCTGTTGTTGTGATGCATTTGAAAAGGTGGAAAGAGGGGAATTTGCCTAGGGGTAAAGCCACAGAACTTTAGGACAGTCTGATCTGGTCTCACAGATCCCATGTTCCTAGCCTGGCACTGAGCTTCCATCAGCAAGCAGACATTCAGGTCCTTCAACAGAAGTATATGCCCTTCTACCTTCCTAAGTTGTAGGGGTGAAAGAAATCCAGCAGAGTTGAGCTGGAAAGCATGAACAGGGATGAAAACAACCAGTTTGCATACTGATCTTTGTATAATGACCCCCCCACCCTCACAGCTCACTCTTCCCCAAATAAAGACACATTGTTCAATGGCATGTTGAAAAGACGTGCTCGTCATTCTTAATAAACAACTAGAGTAAGAATACATAAGAGAAACAGGGTGGTATCTTTATATGATACACAAGTGTATGTTACAAGAATTCCATCAGGCACAGAAGCCTCAAGCTTTAAGGCCTCAATGTTAGGCCAAAAAAGAAGAGTGTGGTAAAGTTTGTACTTTTAACATCTAAAAATGTCACTTAAAGGTCTGAATAGAAATTGTTGGTTTGTTTTTTTTTTTTTTTGTATAAATCATATTTGCAGTTCACTCTCTCCTCTTTCTTCCAAGATAACAGCAAATTAATGTCCAAGCACAAGAAAAGAAGATGCCTGCCTCTCCTCCACTGGCTGAGCAGGTCCATCCATCATTCTGTGCCCTCTAGGCTGCACGTGCTCCAAGGAGACAGAGGCCCCAGCCAACCAGGCCAATCCTGTAGTTCATGTTTTCTACATCATAAAAAAAAAACCCAGAGTCAACCAGCAGCTTTCCACAGCTCCCAGCTCGCAGGGGATATGCAGCCTCCAATGGTTCCAACAGTTTGGTGTGTTGGGTAGGAATCACAACGGGTAGGTTTTCCTTTAGATTCTTTTAAAGAGAAGAAGCCTAAAAGGGCTTCATAACTACACCAATAAAAAACCAAAAACTTAGGCATCTCCTTTAGTGTAAAAGTCTGTACAATTTCTCTTTGCTTGTCCCTCCCCCATCACCCTGCCCCACCCCATCTGAGCCACGAAGGATGCCTTAGTGCATGGTGCTGGCATTAGCCACGGCAAGAGCTTCCTGAATCTCTCGTATCACCAGGATCCGGGTGAGCATCTGCTCCATCTGCTCTCTGCTGATCGGCTGGATGGAATACCAGATAGGGCTGTTGGGGGCCACCACCGGCTCCGGTGTCAAGTAAAATGTGTCATTCCGGCCTTTCACACTCTGGGGGCTGTGTGAGGAAGATCAGAAATAACCAGACTAACAAAATGTCCTGGAAGAGGGACACCACCACTGTCCTCACCCCAGGCTTCACAAATCCTGACAGTGAACATCTGGCTGACAACACATGGAAGGTACAGAGATACATCTAGGGGCAGCATTCATTCCAAAGTTTTAAGACATGCCAAGGTTAAAAAGCCATGGTGAGGACTACAACAAAGTAGTTTTTATTTCACATTGGTAACCATAACACACACATGGCTTTAGGGGTCCTTCAGAGTGAAAAAAGGATGGGGTATTTTCACATTCAGGCTACCTGCAGATCCATCTGTGCAGATGAACCATTATATTAAATTACAGAATCATCATAATTTAGAGATGAGTCCTTTGAGGCACCCTCCAATCTCCATAGCAAGTCCTTATTTTTGTTCAGAAGCCGGTCTGAACAGGACCCTAATCCTACCTTCAGTAGGGGATGCTTCCAGATGACTTGCAAATCAGAAGCAGAAGTTCACGTCAACACAGCAAATGTCCAAGATTAAGAGCAACCAGTTCACAAATCAGGATTTGTCTCTTAAACACCCCAAAAATTCAATTTACATGCCATCAGAGTTAATCCCACTCTCTCACATCAGCACCCCTTCTCCATTTAAGCACATTTACGGAAATATAGAAATCGTGTCAGCGCTATCACACAGCACTGAAAACTGGCCAGGCTCAGGGAGCAGCTCCCCAGCCACAGCAGACAAGCCCCACACACACAGACGAGAGCTCTCACCATTTGAAGAGGTAGAAGTCATACAGCTTTATCGGACACCTCAGGGGGTTCTCTGGATTCTCGGTCTGCTCTGCGTACATGTCATCTGTAACTACAAAGCAGCCCCCCAGAAGTCTGTCAGACACTCAGTGTAAGCACAGCACAGTGAGCAGTACCTTAGAGCCTCAGCACCGCAGCGCCTTGTCACTGTGCAAGAGCTGGCAAGAGACACGTGGCTGTTCCAGGGCAGAGGCACCTGGCTGTAAATGCTTAGCTTGCTGTATCCTAAGGCTATTGAAGATCACAACCCATCCATATCCTTCTATTTCTCCTCTGCCAGTGTGCAAAATGAGGGAAATATCACTACTGAGACTGAAAAGCCTCAGTTGCATCCTGTGCTTTTAAGAGGATAGATTGTACTTACATAGGAATTCTTATGAGTTCACAGGAATCAAGGTAAGAGAAGCCCTCCCAAAGAATTTTCTCCATCTCTTCATAAGCACCTACACCCAATAGTCTCTTTGCCCATAAAAACAAACAAACAAACAAAAGTAACAAAAAAATTATCCTTAATTCCTGATGAGGCCCACATGCCTCAGGTAAGGTATGTCCCCAGGGTTATAATTAGAAGGTATTATCCTCTCTTGGATAGAATGCATGGAAAACACATACTGCCAGGCTACAGGTAACTGGCAGAGCCTTGGATTCCCTACCTGCAAACATCTCCAGGTTCATCCACTTCTTCAAGCCCAAGTAAGCAAAACACTAGCAAAGAAACCTCCTAGACACTACCTTTCTGTCCTGTCTGGTGCATGCCTGGAGCCTTCATATAGCGGATACTCGTGCTTTTATCCTTGGGATTAGAAGGGTTCTTCTTGGTCTGCCTCAGCACCTTGGAGAAGGCCAGCTTCATGTGCTGGTCTACTGTTTTCAACAGGAAGTATCTGAGCAGCAAGAACACAACATAGGACATTCAGAGGCAAGCAAGGGACATAGTCACAACAGCAAGGTAGTTATCTTTAGTCATCATGAGCAGGCTGAAGCTCAAATCAACTACTGGGCTAAGGACTCTTCCAGCAGCACAGCATACAAAAGCCACAGGTTCAGTCTGCCCTCTGCTAGCTCACTTCCTTGTTATTCTGCATCTTCTTTGTCTGATGAAGCTACAAGTGGGCTCTGTGTGCAACCATTTGAAACTCATGATTTTGCCCTACGCAGTGCAGCAGTTTCACAACAATCCTGTTAAGGTCTCTGAAGTTCTTTTATTCCCCAAGATTCCCTAAGACCTGAGTACTTACTTTGTATTAAAAAACATCAGTGTAGTGAGCAAGGTGGAAGGGGAGTGAGCTCCAAGCTGCTTACACTCCCACAGCATCTCTTCTGTTACATGACTGGAGAGGATGTAACCTGCAATAATCAGAAGTCAGCATCATGCCAGGGGACAGACACAACATGAGCACAGGCAGCATTTTACAGTCTGTAAGTACTGCAGAGCATATAAATCTTAACAGAAGGAGAAAGAGGAGATTCTCACTAATGTCAAGATTCAGTGCTCTGCAAATAACTTTTTAAAGAGCAGGTACAGTCAGGAAACAATTGTACATATCCATCAACCTCTAGTTGTGGAGAGTATGCTTGTGCAACATGCCTATACATCCCAGCCCATAGAGAAAAGAATATGCACTTAAACAGCTTTTAATGATTGGCTTGACTCCAGTGCAGATGCTCTTAATCCAATAATATGTGAGAGCAGGCAGGCCACTGTAACAAATCAGTTCTTGGCCCTGTGCACAGCTTCAGTGAGCATGCAGTGCCAAGTGATGTATTTGGACACATGAGTAATCCTTTGATTCTCAGATTTTTTTTCCCCTTTGTGTAGAAGAAAAATACTACACTCCAAATACACAGATAAACAGAAAAACAGACAGCAGCATGAACTCTGGGGCTTGTGGAACGTCAAAGCACTGATCAAACAGCCAGACTGAAAACAAAAGGATTCCAAAACTCATGGTGCCACTCAGCCACCTAGCCTGTAACATCAGCTAATTTACTGAACATAAGAATTAACTTCTTCACTCATGTCCAAACATATCAAAGGGAATGAAGCCATGAGAAACCAGGTTCCTATGCTCTGAAAATGCAATTTTTATCTAGTTCTCATACAGTTCTCTGTCAAAATTTGTCTCTTGTGGAACTGCTTCCCCCATCCCAGTTGCCATGATCTCCTAAACATAAAGTTGAGCTACAACTGACTGCAGCACTGGAGGCTTTATTCACTCATTGTTTTTTTCCTTTAACACTCAGTTGCTTCTGCAGGCAGAATCCATCTGGCTACATGGCACTATGACAGTGCTGTATTATCTCCCAAAGAAACAATACATATTAAAGGCAGGATGCATTACCACTTCAGATGAGGAAACCTGATTCAAATCAAGGATCAGCTGGCTGCCAAGTAAGCCAATCTCATGACACTACAAAGTCCCCACAAAGTACCTTCTGATTGGTGACAAGTGACAGACAAATAATGCTCAATGACAGTCAGGGTTAGAGCCTGACAACTGCAGTAACCCCATCATTCACTGCAAACATAACATTTTTCTCCCTGACCAGCATTAGCTAGCCTAGGGATGTCACATACTTCAGAAGGGTTTCTATTCAGACTACACTCATGCTGCAGGTTCAGTTTAAACATTCCAAGATCTGGAAAGTTTTAAAGTTCTTAAACAATAGCCCTTACCAAGAGGTGAAACACGGGGCTGTATGTCCTTAAGAACTTCATGCAGCCATTCAGTGAACCGAATATAGTAGAGATCTGAGAAGATGTCATCGACTCGGCCATTTTCAAAGAGATACTGTAAGAGATTCACAACACAGGCCAGTACAGTGGGAGCAAGTGTGTTCCTCAGACCAGACCTCATCCTGAGGGCCCACATCCTCAGCTGAGCATTTTACAGCACAGCACTGAATAGCATTTACTTAGAGAGTGAGTACTCACACCAAGGCGAATACAGGATAGGTAATTATTACTATCCTTTACTATCATGGCAATGCCAAGACAGAAAAAGGAAAAACTATCTTACAAAGTAAAGCTGACTGGATTTCACCTTTTATTTCAGGTGTGCTCACTTCTAGTTATTTCACATGACTAGTGAACACTACTTTTTCAGGTTAACAACAAGAATGCTCAATTTCCCTGTCCAAGTACAGCTCTGTTCCTGCAGCTCTTCCAGAAAGCTCATACATCCCATAGCACATAAAGCTAAGTTCTTGCCTGTTAAAGCTTCAACTAAATTTAAGTCTTGACATTGACAACTTCTTTAAACATCATCCAAGCCTTCTCTCCCCCCAATCAAAAAAAGCTAAATGGATTTGTTATTTTTACTGTGATACTGAACTCAGTTATTCACAAAGTTAACTCATAGACTAAAGCATTCTTGCACTAAGGACAGACAAGTTACCTCATGTTTTCAAGGTTTTTTCAGCAAAAAGACTTTTTTCTTATAAAATTGTTGGTAAGCTTAATAGAAGCCACAGTCTCTATTTTTATAACCAAGAGTCCCCCTACACATGCTGACAACATGGACAGTTCTGCAGCACATAGAGCTGTCCCATCCTACCTTCTGAATACACAGGAAGATATAGTAGAGCACATCTGGGTCATAGGGTTCACCATCACCATTCCGAGCTTCTCGCGTCATTAAGCACAGACCGTAATTGAGCTCAGCCACAGCTGAAGAGATGAGATCTTCCTGGAACCTCAGCAGCTGACGCCCTGCAAAAACAAAACAAAGCTATATTATTTAAGTCATAAAGCCATATTATTTCAGGAAAGGTTTCCCACATCTCCATTCTATCTGGCAGGTCCAGCACTAGCTCGTTCTTCCAGTATACTAAAGCCATTTCTGACAGATCTCAGGCTGTCAGAAATACTAAAAGATGAAACAGGCAAGAGTTTGATAGGAAGATCCTCTGCCCTACCAAATGCATGACTATTGCCTTCTTTCACCGTGTCCCCAGTGAAATGCTGCCCTGCAGCAACAGCAAAACAGCAACTCCATGACTGTTCTACCAGCCTGGCCAGCCAGTTTGTCCATGCACCACAGCCATGCAGTGCCCTTTTCTATTGCTATCAGCTCAGGTGCTCAAGGGGGTTCAGCACAGAGTTAATACATGTCCTGTGGCAGTGAGAATACACAATAATTAGTACTGCAGAGTAAATTAATATTTAAATTTAGGAACAATCACTGATTAAACAAAAGGCTTTTCCAGAGCAGTACACATGTAACATTTTAGTCATTCCTGATCCTACTTGAAAGGAAAGAAAGGGTATATTGTCAATGACACCTACTTCCAATAGGTGCTAGTCTATTTTGGGCTTCTTTTTCCAGCTCTGCATTCTTGGTCTGTGCCCAGCTTTTCCACACTTCAAGACCTTCTTCTGGCTTCAGAGAGTTTGGAAGTAGAAGTTCAGGTGAAGTCTGTGGCTGCGGCTGCGGCTCAACTTCAGCAACCTGAACAGTTTGAGCCTGTGAAAGAAAAGCCTTCAGTTTATACACACACTTCAACATGCAACAGCTGGACAAAAACCAAGAATCCCACATTACCTGTAGCCCCAGGGTATCAACCTTCTGCAACACTCCCAACAAGAAATTAATCCAAGGAATGCAACTTTTGCTGTCCAACCTGAATTGCTGCTCACAAAAGAATATTCTACACTCCAAAAACTCTTTCAGTTTGAATGGACAGACCTATCTTCAGCTCACTTGTCACTCTGAATCACCACTGAAGTGCATCTCACTACAAGAGCAGCCCACAGAGACCACCAGCCCCTAAACAGGAAGGTGCCACCAGCTTTATTCACCACTGCTGCTCCACACCTAGAGTGCCCTAAGGGAGGTCCTGGGTGCAATCACACACCAAACACCACTGGCATCCCTCCCTCTCCAGACTCTCTTCTTTAAGCAGTACATAACAGGCACACAGAATAAATACATTCTGTTCTTAGCATAAGTGATAAATAAGAAAAATTAATTTGTAAAAGGTATAAAGCAGTAAGACTAGAACACAGCATCAAAACATAAATTCAATTTTAATGCAATGTTCTCAAAATACCAAATATTAATAATGGGAAGTAGCTACTATTGTGTGAAGTGACTTCATGACTTATTATAGACCTAAGGCATCTCCAGACCCTTTGGAAATTTACTTTGCAGTTGGACCTTATGTCACCAAGAATTTCAGTCTCAAACTGAAACTTATTTGTCAGGCAACCAATAGCACCAATCTAAAACCTGCAGCAAGCCCTTCAGCTGCTCTCACTCTGCATTCTTTGCTACAGGCTTTCAATTCTATGCCAGAGTCTCATACCTATCTCAGTTAACAGCTTTACAGACCTTAGTCAAACTCTCACTGGTACCCTGAATGTTACAGAAATAGCAATTCTTATATCAAAACAGTTTTGCTTTTTCCTTCCTAAGAGCTACTCCAAAAAGCAGCTTTTCCTTTGATACTGCTAAGTGTCAGTATTAGTGGAAGTTGCTCTGACAGTACTAGAGACCATGGCATAGGAAAACAGCATAGAGACTTTAAATACCTGTACTTTAGTATAAAAACCAACAGCTTAAGAGCCAAAGTCTGCAAGAGCTCAGACTGGAGCCTTCCAACTCCCTGAGCAGAGCAGAGGACTGAGCCTCTGCTCTCCTCCAGAGTGCTGCCACATTACTCTCCAGAGAGCTGAAAGCTTTCCAGAGCCAGCTCCCTCCATCAGCCCAATCCAAGGGACAGTCTTCTGCCTAACCTCACAGACACCTTTGCCCAGTGTGAAGGCTGGACACAGGCTGATGTAAATCTGCTGAACTGGCAGATGCTTCTTAACAAACTTGTATTTTTCACAAATAGAGCAAAATTGCTGCAACTTGCCCAGATCCCCTAGAAGCACAATGCCAGAGGACAGCATGGGGCAGGCAGGCAAATTCTTGCTCAGCTTCACAGTTTTGAGAGGGTCAACTCCCAAAAGCAGGATGTTCACCTGTAGTAGCTTTACTGACCCACCTAGAGAGAGAGTGCATTCCTCCTGGAATTGTCTATGTATTTAGGGTACTTTATTTTAAATACCTTATGCACCCTAAAGTACACTTGATCCAAGAAGTTTGCTCATAACTAGTCAGTTTACCTGGGCACTGGAACTGCTGTGCAACATAACACAAAGTAACTGATCATGACTAGTACATATTAACACACCTTATTTGGCTGCAATTATCCCTGCCTGACCACTGCAACCCCTGGAACAGCTCAGGAGAATACTGCAGATCTTGAAATACCCACTATCAAGAGTCTGGCAATCAATGTATCTATTAATTTTTAACACTAAGATCAAGACTGTACTTTATTTTGGAGTGTTTTGAATCCTATAACTACGTACCAACATTATCACATGAAAGTCTTATACCCATCAGGAGTCAAGTGCCTCGTGTCACATTCAGACTTCTGGGACAGATGCATCTCTGCTTCCCAGACACCAGCTGTCTGTTGGCATGCTCCCTCTCCAAAACATTTGTAAGTTGTTAATCGCCAACTGAGACCAAAAGGCAGTTTTAACTTACTGAGCAAGTGACTTGTAGCTGCTGCTGCTGCCCCTGCTCTTGGGGTGTGGGCTGCTGCTGTTGCTGCTGTGGGTCCCATATGTGCACTGTCTGTGCTGTATTCTGGTAAGTCCCTGCCACAGCCTGCACCGCCACCGGAATGTGGATGTTGCCATTCATAAACTGTGCTGGAAAGATCGAATTAGCAAGAGTCTGCACCACTTCCTCATGAGAGTTCTTCACTACTGAAGTACTTCCCACCATCTTATCCTTGTCATCTTCCAGCTTCACTGTAGCCAGCGTTGTGGGCGAGCCACTGACGTGGACGGCATTGTAGGCCTCCTGAGGGATGGCAATGTGGGTTATGTTTTGCTGCTGAAGGTCACCACGCGGCTGAGCGGAGTAAACAGGGATGGTCCACGTCTCTCCAGTGGGGCTAGTAATGGTCCCAGTGGCACTGTACAGGTGGGCACTGTCCACTGTTAACAAGTCTGGCCGTAAAGAGACGTAACTTTGCTGCTGGCCCTGAGGAATGGCCAGCACTGTGGCAACCGGCTGCCCTGAAATAGCGTACGACACAGTAATAGGCATGTCCACTTTACGTTTCTTCACCGGCTGAAGGACGCTCGCAGAGCTGATCCGCCTCTCTCCCTCCCGCGGGGAGCCTTGCTGAGAAGGTGGGGGCGACAGCGCCCCGACTGTCTGGATCTGGATCTGCTGGCCACCACTAATGGCCTGTCCCGCCACGAGCTGGGCCTGGATCTGCTGGTGTTGTATGTGCTCCTCCTGCAGCTCTGCAGCCTGGATCTGCTGGGCAGTCTGCACGTGCTGCACTTGGATCTGAGCTGCCTGCAGCTGCGACGGGCTGGGGCTCTGAAGAGACTGACTCTGTATTGTCTGGGACGCCTGCTGCTGCGCCTGCCCTTGGATCTGCACCTGGACCTGTATTGGCTGCTCCGAAGCCTGATGGACAGAGAGCTGTGGAGAGAGCTGCTGGGCGGAGACCTGCTGCGGTGACTGCTGGACCTGGACCTGAACCTGCAACGACACCGAGCCACCAGTTAGAGATCAGCAAACATCAGGGATTCAGCAGAGATGCTCTGTCACTCAAGATCTATGCTCCAGGTCTCTTATGCTCACTGTTGATTCCGTGTATTAATCCATTAGTAAAGATTTCACGAAAATTAAACCAAGTTATTCTAGAAGTGCCTGGCTGACAACAGTGATACAGTAGATGTGTTTGCTCAGCATTGCACATGACTCTCAGCACAGAGAGAACAGCATGTGAGCAACATCTCCACCCTCAAAGCTCTTATGGGCTCAAGCCAACAGATTCCATCCTTGGAATCCAAGAGTCTTGAAAACTATTTGCACTGCTAAAATGTTACTTTAGCACAGGTCTTGCAATACCAAGACTTAAAAGTCATCCACATTACAATCACAGGAGCTTGCCCCATTCTTACTTGCGCAGGAGCTCGCCTCATGCTCTGAAGATTGTTCTACTGCTGCCCACCCCAGTCCCAAGATGGCCACAGGATCACTTACTGCTGACAGGCAATAAGAAATATGGGTAAGTCGAAACCAGCACTTGGCTCTTTCCTCATAAAGCACAGGAATATTACTTTGAAACCTATCGTTAACAGTAACACTGCTCAAGTGGTGCCGACACAGAATGTGGCAAGTTCAACCTCAATCTCTGCCATGCGTTAATGGCCTATGATGCAGCATGTTTGGTAAACTCTAGAAGAATTTCTTTGGCAATGATAATTGAAACCAATCTTTTTTTTATTATTTACTTTTCCATTTAATACCATTTATTGTCCAAACTACTCAGTTGTATTTTTTAGCTCACGCACTTAGACAATGCTGAATAACACAGACAAATCTGTTGGCTTGATTCCCAACCAGTTCCTCTTATTTTAGAGGGGGAAAAAAAAAAAAAAAATCACACCCTCTCACATTAATGCTGATTTGCCCAAGGTGTGCCACAATACCTAGCAGCAGTCCAGCAGCACACTGAAAGCCAGCAGCCAAAAGTAGCCCCCAGAACAAATGTCAGGTCTCAATGGCTTCACATCCCTTGTCCAGACACTTCTCCACTTTGCCTCACATTTACACAGACAACTTGTTACATTTGCCTTGTCCTAGAAGCAATATCCCAGGTACTCATGACCATCTGTTTCTCTAGGCTTCATTAACACTTTCTCTTAAGGGAGGCAATTAATTACTCAGCACCTATTTCTGAAGCCAACAAGGACTTATTTAGTTGCACGACTAAATGTCTTCCTACTCACAGTTCTCTCACCTTTTTCTACCTCACTTCCTGGATTCAGGCAGACTAATGCAGCATTGCACAGAGACAGCACACTAGTCAGTCAGCCTGACAATACCAAAAAGAACTACAATGCAGGCCTGCTGTGCACAAAATCTTACTTCCCAGCATCACTGCTAAGAAGTCTTGAAAAATGTTAAGGACCCATTTACAGCTAATTAAGAGTTGCTAAGGAAAAAACTGGGGTAGCAGAACGCCCCACTGGCAGGCCAGATTTATAAATCACCTCCTGTTAAGAATTAATTCATTTCCAGGAAGAATAGGGTATAGTTCCTTCTGGGAACTCTGTGCAGTGTACTGTAATCCAGATGACGTGGTGACTCTATAATAATTTCCTGCAAGGTAACAAGAAGCATGTGACCTTGTGTCAGCATGAAAGTTTAAAAAGCTCCATCAATGAGTGATTTGATCAGGCACTCAATTGAAAAAGATGAACCCACCTATGGGATGTTTCCTCAGCTCTATTTGATATTGTTCTGCCCTGGAGCATGAGTACTGCCTTGGGCAAACAGGCCCAAACACGGATACCAGGTAAGGGCTCAGGTTAAGAAAGCCAGTTGCAATCATACACCTAAGGCAAGAATTCTCCAAAATATTTCACTTTAAAAATCATTAATATGGTCTTTACTATTAATTTAAATCCTTGTTCAGAAGATTACCTGCAAGGCAAAAGCCAAAGATTGAATAAATTACACGTTTTATTGCACTAATATTTTCAGTCTCACACAAGAAATCTTTGCTTTATCTGCTATGATTCAAAATGATGTTAAAAGGTAAACATGTCATTTGTCCTGTACTTCTGACTTCTGTAGTGTTTCCACAATTTGCACAGGTTGACTGAGAGCACCTTAAAAGCACCCCCACCTTTTACCCATACAAAATTTCACATTACAATTCCTGTGAGTGCTGTAACATATATAAAGGAATGACTTTTTTTTTTTGGTAGCAGTAAGAATTCAGAGTCTTCTCCTGCACTGAAACAATTTTATCACATAAGCACAATTAGAAAGGTAATGGAGCTGGTTTAAGAAAGAGGCATTGTCAGCAAGAGGAGCAGCCTAAGAACAAACAGAACAAGACAGCATTTGCTCCCTTCTGCTCTTGTAAACAGGCTGTTTCAGTTTGAGGGGACCTCCACTGATCACCCAGTCCAACTGCCTGAGCACTTCAGGGCTGACCATAATCCCCAGCATGTCATTCACAGCACTGCCTAAATGCCTCTTAAATAACGACAGGCTTGGGGCACCAGCCACCTCTCTGAAGCCTGTTCCAGTGTTTGACCACTCTCTTGGTAAAGAAATGCTTCCTAATGTCCACTCCAAAGTTCCCCTGGCACAGCTTTGAGCCATAACCATTCCAGAGCCTGAGCCTACAGCGTTTGAAAGTCAGCAGCAACTTCCACCTCTTTGAAGAGGTGAGCAGTCATACCCTGAGGCCCCTGGAAACTCCCCCAGGACTAAATCCTAACTCCTACAACAGGAATGTCTTGCTACTGCTTTCAAGTCCACCCTGCTACTGTTAACACCCAAAGAATGAGTCCAGACCCAAACAATATGAAGTCAAACTCCAGAATCACTTGAAGCTCTCCATGTTCCAAACTGCAGACATCATGCTTCTGACTAGAGTGGTCCTATTTAAAAAGATATTGGAACTCTACCTACCACACATGATACATCCCCTGTGAATTACACATCCATTTTTAACAACTGTATCTTGGAGCAGATCTCTCCCTATTCTCAAGTAGGTTGTATCCAGGAGTGCTACAAGCATCCATTCCAGATTTACAGGCTTTAACCCGGTCTGAGACCAGAGGCTTCTTATATTGACCTCCCTGTCCTTTTTTCCTCAAGTTAAACAAAGAGTTACATGCAGCAGCAGCAGACCTTATAAAAGACTCTGTACAAAGGGGAACGTTTAAAATTTTTAAATTTACAGGCCAAGACAAACAGGGGACTTTAAATCTTCATTTTATGCTGAAGATTAAAGCAAAAACATGTTATGCTGGCAATTCCTGGGTTACTGGTGCAAGAAAGGAACATACCAAGTTACCAGTACTGAAATACTATTTATTGCCAAAAGTCTGGATCCAACATCATGAAAGAATCACCTCCCAGCAGGCTACCATGACACAGAGAAATGCCTTTTCACCATAAAGTAGCTGGAAGCTGGATCAAGTACTAGCTGCCTAGAAAACCAAAAACATTAGAAATCAACCCTGTATCGTAACAAGAGGCCAGAACTAAATTCCCTTAAAGGAATTCTGTCACACCAAGCCCAAAACCATATTCTGTGCTGAACTGAACAAATGCAAAGAGGAAATAAGTAACCCCAGGACCATGAGAACATCTGAAGCCTGGTTGCCAAAACTTTTTTTCCTAATGGTTGATAGACAAACTTTCAAGTAGGAGTCATAACATGTCTGCCCTGTGTGGATTCTCTGCCCAAAAAGGAATCAGACCCAGTTGTTTCAGAACAGCAGTTCTGAAACAACTGAGATTTTCTTTGCTTGTGAATTATTTCATCTGCAGACTGACTGGATTATCTAATAGTTCCTAAAATCTAACTCTAAATGAGCACACAGAGCAACTCTTTCCTGCATGGATTTTTTGATATGTAGCTTTTCCTAGAGCACCTGACAGGCTCTTAAATGCATCTTTTCATAAAGAGATCTTGGTTTCTGAAGCTGTATTTAAACCAGCAAGCAGTAGTACAGACCAAGAGCAGATCTCCAGAGCAAGACTGGAGATGCACTAACATGTTCACACCACACCTTCCAGAAGACTATTTAAAATTTAGTTCTAGTCTTGCCCACCAGCCAAGTTTGACATCACCAAAACACAAGATTTCATCTTACAGCTTAGTTTCATTTGCAGGGAACCCCAAATGACAAGCTCCAAACCTACAAGAGGTAAGAAGGCTTCGGCAGGTGGCCAACTTGCTGCGGGAAGTACGCTCCAAATGCCCCAGAAGTCATGTGGGGTACATCTCAAACTTCCCACACAAAGTGAAATATTTGGGAAAAAAGTTGGTGAGAGCATGAGAAGAGTAATCTCAGGTTTTTTTAGCCCAATTTAAGGACAGAAGACTTAAAAGACAGTTCCCTCAACAACAGTCCTAAGCTAAAGCAAGTGCAGCACTAAAAACTAACACTGTAACAACGAGTTCCTTCTAAAGTTACACCAGAAAGTGTACAAGCAAGTGCAAAACAGATATGAAAAGTGTATTTAAAGTGTAAGTGAAGAGACTGATCAGTGAAGTAGCAGGAAATATCAGAACTTGTTATTTAACTACTTTACAGGAAGCCCTTTGCTATCTAAGTAAACAAGGTCTACGGGAAGGGTGCGAGTCAGCTTTTCAGAACAACTGCCAGACTGGAGGCTTTTCCCCTGCTCATTTATCCACATCAGAGAGAGAATTCCAACAGCTAAATTAGGCCTTGGGTGTGTTTAAACAGTTACAATATCAAGATTATGCTGTCAAGCTGTACACTGGGGAGGGATTTAGGTCTAAGACAGTTAAAACACATGAACCAAGGAAAAACAGTTTACCTCTCCAACAGAAGAGTACTTCCATATACAAAGAGATGCTACCTCAAAAACACCACTCTTGACTATAACCATTCTTTGAATTGTCCCACTCAGTCCTAGCACATGCTAATTAATACCTGCTGCTACAGTAAAATCGTACTGCCATGTTTCTCAAACATAAGCAAATAGGAACTCTACCTCCAAGCTACTCTTCAGAACCAGTACAGAGGCAAAAGGAAGGTACACCCATCAGAAGCAAAGATGCATTCTGTGCAGAGTCAGAGATAAACTTTTTTCTAAGCTATTTAAGGGCATCTTTCCCTGCCTTGTATCATTACTAATGTCCAGCCTTCTGTAAAGGTCTGAAGTCACAGAATAGACTGAACAGTAAACACAAAAGGAACTGAGCAATTAGAAAGGCACAAGTATTAACTGAAAGATATTTTACACAAACCATTCCCCATACACTTCTGTGACCTTGCTCACATGTAGCAACGTCCCCTCAAGCCCTGCCCAAGAAAATATTGCCACCTAGACCTCAGACTGTTCACAAAAAGCTGAAACTGAGGATTTCATCCACACACCCCATAAGCAAAGATACTTTCCATCCTCTGATATTCTTTCAGTTGAAGTTTCTGGGGTAAGAGGCACAAGAGGTTCACTGACCTCTGCAGAAGTACCATATTTGGGAAGCAAGCAGCACTAAACACCTCCCTGGCATCATCAATTCCACGGCCTCTCTGCACAGGACCAACATGCAACAATCTCACCAAAAGCAGAGCTGATAAAACTCCTGCTTGACTCAAGTAAACCACGGACTTTCCCTGCCACTCCCTGACACAAGGTATGACAACTTGACATACTAAGCTCCTTCTTAAGGTCACTTATGGCACCCCTGTGATACTGGGTGTGGAAGGAGCTCCAGAACCCGTAACTGTAGCAATGACCAGTGCACATAACCCAACAGTTGCACCACTCATCCTATAAAATAAACATCTGGTAAGACTTTGTTGAGCCTTTTAGACAAGAAAGCCTTAATAAAACAACTTCTTCAAAGAGAAAATTTATTTTTCTAGAATAAATAAAAACAGCAAGCAGTGACACTCTGTCTTTAGTTGTCCACAGCAAGTAAAACCCAGGATGAAACCTGAGCACTATCTCCATGACTGCAAGATCATCAGCAGCACTTTCAACTGTGAGGTCATCTGACTGGTCATACTGTTAATCACCCCCAGCAGCACTGTCACACTGCCAGACATAAGCACAGTCATTTAAAGGGTCTTCCACTGACTTGCAATTGGATTAGCAAGAACTAAACAGGTTACCAATTCAAGTACCAGGATGACAAGTTTAATCAAAAGCTAAGAGGCTCCAGCAGATGACCAAAACTCATCATAATACAACACAAGGAGCATTTCAGCACAGGGAGCCACCCGGACCAGGTGCACTGCTATGGTGGAACACTGTCACTCCCCAGTGTCATAAAATCCAGCTTTATCCAGAAGATGAGCCCTGCCACTGCTGCCACAGTGACAGTGCAGAGATGAGGGAACACTAAATCATGAGTTTAACGCAAATTATGTTCCAATAAGAAATCCTGAAAGACAGAAAAACTCTTGCAAATGGGTAAAGACATTCTTCTCCACCCTATTCTTGCAGAAAAACTAAGATAATTCTGAGCTAGCTACTCAAATACACCTGAGCTCAGCTGCATTGCTGATACACAAAAGCTGCAGCCACATCTAGAACCAAATGTGCCACCTAAAGTGAGCAGCAGGTAGGCAATACAAATAGTAATGATGATTTGAACAGATGGCAAAGCAGGTATCTAAAAGCAGAGGCACTTCAAAAACAAGGAGAGCAGACAGCATTCTTCAGGAAAGTTGCTGCAATCTTAATTTTCATGAGAAGCTTTTCATATACAGGGTGCAGGTCATTCAGTTCCAAAATCAGGAACCGGTCTCTGGCAGCAGCTCTATGCTTATTCACAAGAAGGTCAGGTTATTTTTCTCTGGAGCATAAGATATATGACCTCCCTTCCCATCTCTGTTACTAAAAGACTTGCAAGGGTCAAGCCTGAACATTGGGTAGTTCTGAAGCAAGGCAGCAAGAGTGAGAGGGGAAAAAAAAGATTCCTTCTGACTTTTACCATTGGGGGCTTTACACATCTTCAAGGCTGAGGCACTCAAAACCCAACCCTCCTAGCCCTTCTGCTGCAAAAAAAACTTCTTCCAGAAAACACACTAGCTGGCAAAACCAAACCCACTCTTGATCAGTTTTAACAGCCTCATGCAGAGAAGTCATGCCTGAAAGACTTCAGGTTTTTATTCTTCAAAAGCCTTTCAACACAAGTCACTGTAGGGCAACAGGTTACAGAAGTCCCAGTTAAGCATTCATTTACTCAACAGAGAGTAATTGGAGACGAGTTAGCAGTGAAGGAGTTTTGTCTTTGCTGTAGGATAAAAACACACAAGTGAGCTGTTGACACAAGTCTACTGCACTGCAGCAAGTACACACTACCTGATCTCCAGCCATTTGTGACTCCATACCCTTATTGTAAAAAAAAAAAAGAAAAAAGAAAAAAGAAAAAAAAAGAGCTTGCAGCTTTACATTCTGCTACAGAAACCAGAAAGATTCATATCTCAAGTATAGCATATCAGAACTACAGCCATAGCCAGAGTTCAGCTGTTTAGAGACATATAATAGAAAAACTTCAGTAAATGCCCTGCCACCTGTGAACTCTTCAAACTACAAAATCTGAGGACAACACCAGTTTCCTAAGTTATAAAATTGGTTTGTTTTTTTCCTCTGATATTGGATTTGCTTACTTAATACTTAATAAAATACCTAATGCAATATCTACTTAAAAAAAAAACCACCAAAGACAACTCCTTCCACTGTGCAAACATATAATCTACCTTGATACATATGCATTCTTTAGAATTCCTTTCCAAAAACATATCTTCCCCTGATTCATATCCTAAAGTTGACTCTCTTGCATTTCCCCCTCACTTAAAAATCAGTTCAAGAACAACTTTTAGAATGTTCAAGTAAAACTATTTAAAGATTACTGATTTTATTAAGAAAAAAAAAAAATCCTCAAGGCAAGCTCCATCCCACAGCCAGCCTGAACAATCAGACAGTCAGAGGGGGCTGGTATTTATAGCAGCTTCAGAGCACAAGGCTTCTGGAGTTGTGTACATGCCAGAACTGTTTCTCAAATAGGTGACACCACTCCATTGCTATGTATGTGGCTCCTCCTACAGCAGGGCTCCAGGGAGGCACAGCCAGGAGAGCAAATTTACTACCAAATTCCTTAAATGAAAGGGAAATATTGCTGCTCTATATGAAGTTAATTGGCCCTGCCTCTTAAGTACTTGTCTGAGGCTTACGATTAGAGAGCAGCTCTGAACACTACTCCATCAGATGGCAAGTCACATATACATTCAGAGACTATTTCAGATGCTTACCTGGACTTGCTGGGGTTGCTGAACCTGTATCTGCTGCTCTGGCTGAGTTTGTTGCTGGATACTGGTTGTCACAGGACAAGCAAGTTCAAGCAAAGACCCAGCCACCTCTGTGCTGTCCGTGTAAATGCAGTTGCCACCCTGCTGATACACCATAGTGGTGGTGGCTGTCTGTTGAAACTCCTGGAGAGCTTCTGGCCCCTTGGAAGCAAGGGAGTCTAGAAACTCCTTCATCCTGTGCTGGGGGATCGTTCGCGCCTTCACACGGATGTATTCTTCAAAGGAAATGGTGTTCTCCAGAGAATTATTCATATTGCAAGGTCCTCAGGGTTCCTTAATGAAAGAGAAAGTAAAAGTCTTAACTACAGCACTCCCTTGATGCAAGGATATTCTTAACTCCAGTAACTAATCTCTCATACCAAGTACTGTATGAAAACTGGCAAACATGCACAGCCAGATGCCCGAGACAGATGCTTTCGTTTTATGAGGCACTTTGTGCTACTACACATTTCTCAGATTAACCCTTGGCAACTCAGGGGAGTCTGAATGATACCCAGGTGTGACTCCTCCTCCCAGAGCTCACTGACATGTAAACTCTCCTAGCTCTGTGCTTCCCCAGACCAGGCAAGTCCTGCAGAGACAAACCCAGTCGTGCATTCCGTTTGTTTGCGGCATGCACTGTTAGCGAGAGGCTCGGGAATCAATATCTGCAGCCCTGCTGTGCAGCTGCAGAGGTGGGGAACTGAGCAGTGTGCTCTGTCAGGCCGTGCAGTTCTATTCTAGGCAGCTCATGGGAAGCACAACAGAAGAGCAACAGATGCAGCACTCAGCTCACTGCTATCAGGACTAGGGCAGCCTCATCGATTTGAGCATAGCAAGCAAAGGGAGAGCGCTGGAATCGAGATATTTCCTCAAACTGGGAGCTACACACATGGAGAACAGAGCTCTGGAAATGACAAAGGCAACTGCAGCATCAGTTCTTGATGTCCTTTTAATAGGAAGAGGTTAACATGAAACATGCTACGTGTGAAGACAACAGAAAGACAGAAAAAGAAGTTAAGATGATCAGGGCGGAAGTGAAAGCAAAGAAAAAAACCACCACCAGCGAAGATAACTCCACCTGAGAACAGCTCCAGGGTAAACTCTGACAGCATTCCTCTCTCTTATCTTGTTTAAACCCACTAATTGTTTTTGCAGTGAGTGTACTGGTTGTTTCTAATGCACTAATTAGCCTTGATAGAGCATGAATACATTGGAGCCATAACATCACCAGCTACTGAAACAGTTGTGAAAAGATGTGAAACACCACAAGATCAGGACTAGAAGAGGTGATTCAGCACTACTAGATCAAGCTGCATAAAGGAGGAAAAACAGACAGACATCACTATGTGCATTATGACTGCAGGTCTAAAGAGAACAGGTACAAAACCAGAGCTTTATGTATCCTTTCACCAGGATTTAACAAAGTAGAATTGAGACAGAGCTATGGTTGAACATAAGGCTGCAAAAGCCTGCCTGTGTGAAAATGGGAGTTAACTCTAGGCTTTCACTGGCACCCAAGCACACTGCACAATTCCAGTGCCAGTTATCACCAAAACCAGGGAGAGCTGAAGCAAACACTAACCCCTCTTCACTGTTATGTGACAGCAGTCCAAACACAGTTTTTGTTTACATGGAAGTTCATGGCTAGTGCATTGGACCAGGCTCACAAGAGAAAAAAAACTAATATCAAAGGTAACGGGAGCACACATGAGGTAACCTGTGCCCTATCTACGGTTTCTGAAGTCTTTAAGAGATGTTTCTTGCTGTATGAGGTTTCTATAGAAGATATTTTTAAAATATGCAGCATGTTTAGTAAAAAACACCAAATAATGGAGTTCACATAGCAAATCCAACAGCTCTGCAAATATCAGCACACAGAAGCTCCTGTAGAGCCCATATCTGGACAGAAAAAACATTCTGAGACACCAATCTGACATTTTCAAGCCAGCTCTGGGTAGTAGAAGACTACTCACTTCTTCAGGAGCCACCCAAGAGTACTCTATACCTCTACAGCACACCTTACCAACCCCTTCCCAGAGAACCCTATGCCCAGGGTGAAACCAAGGGAGAACAATGTTAATGCATCCATAGGGACTCAGGACTTAGACAAGACCTACAGCAGGCACACTGAAATGTGTTTTGCATCTAACTGCATGATGCTCCATTATACACTCTGAGGCTGCAAAACAGATTTTGAGCAATTAAATTGTCCCAGTCCTTGGAGCTTTCAAGTATTTGATGTCCATACTACAGTGAGGCTTTCAGAGAGCACCATCATTCTCCACGTCCACCCGAGGTGCACTAGCAGATACAGCTTTGAGAGGGAAGGCTCTGCTGAAGAATAAGCCTCAAGGATGCCATGCTGGGATCCCAGACATGAATGCCACAGATGTGCTTTGACAGCAGGATCCCAGACACAAGTGCCTCAGATGCTCTTTGACAGCCAGCTGCTGCTAAATTGGATGGGCTCACCTCTCCCAGGTGCTCCCCTCCTGCATGGGTTTATGTTGTAACAAGTCAGGGAATAGCTATCCACCTTCTGTTAATCTTGTCAAAGGAGGAAGTAAGGAGGTCAGCAGGTCCACTGTTCCCAAAGGGAGCTGTTAGCCCTCACTTCTACTTTTGAAACTCCAATCCTTTTCTCACAAGCTACATCATTGTCCTGTGCAAGAGACCAGAAGCCACAAGACACCCAGAAGCATGAGCAGCAGAGACCCACCACCAAACAATCACCAACCTCTTCTGACCACCAAGCAAGCACTGATTTCTTAAATACAAATCTTAAAGCAAGCACTGATTTCTTAAATACAAAAGACCCTGCTCAGCTGGTCCATTTCAATTAGTTCTTGTTAGCATCAAAATCAAGAGCCTACTAGGCCAGTCTTCCCCATTAGTAAATTTTCCTCTCTCACAAGACGTCAGAAGAAATCTCTTTCCTTTCTTCTACCATAAAAAAAAACTCCTTTACATTTTCTTGAAGTTACTATACCAAGAGCCACTAAGCTGAGCCCCTGCAGTACTCCTAGTGCCAGGCATGGACCAGAGCCCCACCATGCCACGAGGCATCTGTTCCTGCCCCAGAAAAGCAGCAAGATCTTCCTTAGGTTTTCTCTACAGCTGCAGTTACAGACCCTGTAGGTAAAAGTGCCTCCCACAGTCATTCACATCAGTTTTAAGGCTGCTTGAGATTATTCAACTAGAAGCACTGAACCACACAAGACTGCACTGCCCCAGACCCTGTGCAGCAGTGAGGTACCAGGTCCAGAGAAAGATTCAGAAATGCAATGCTGCACCCCCAGAGATTTTACTTATTAAAACTAAACCAACCTGCATTTACGGCAGAAAACCTCTGCAAGGCTCTAGGGTGCATTCAACAGGATTTTGTAGGGCAACACGTACAGCTTGCTGCTGCAGTCACTACTTTTAGTTATTAAAACACACTAATTTGTGCATTCCATTGATCCCACAGACACGCACTGGAAACTGCAAATGTCCACCCTGACTGGATCTCAGCAGCATATTTTTATTATTGCATTTTAAAATTTAAAAAAGAGCATCCAGGCAGTAAGTTTCTCCAATAAAGGAAGATAACTCCTCTCTCTGTGCAGCATAACTGCACTTTTTTCAAGAAGTAAGTTCAAGAAATTCTTTCAAGATTATGAGCACATACGGTTAGTTGGTAAAACTTAGACTGAGGTTACTGAAAACACACACACAACTTGCAGCATGTGGACAATCTGGACTCACCAGTCACCATGTTGCATGTATTTCTGCTGCTCTTGTCCTGAGCTCTTAGACTTGTAACGTTCTGGAGAAGACAGAACAAAGAAGCCCTTTCCATCCCCAGTTCCTCTTTCTTTATTAAGTCATTTTATTTTTAATATGTATTCCATTAAGAAAAAAAAAAAATAAATCAGGAAACAAAGATATGATCATCCACGCAGCTAGCAGCTCCTAGTGAGGAATTGCAAGATGCCCAATTTCGAACCATCGTAGCCCTGAGCCTGGTGGTGTGAGCACGTCTGTCACAGAGCGCCGTGCGGCGACAGGCGCGGCCCGGTGGGTAACACCGGAGTTACTGGCACACAGAACTTAGAACAAGGCAGCAGCAGCAGTGACCGCATCCACGGGCACCCCCCCGACCCCCTCCCCCCGCAGGCGCTCCCGGTGCCGCCCCGAGAGACGGCCGGGAGCGCTACGGAGCGCTCGGCCACCCAGCCGAGACGAGGCGAAGCTCGGTATTTAGGCCCCGAGGCCGTCGGCTGCAGCTCGGCCTCCGTCCCGCCCGAGCGGGGACGCGGAGCCCGCGGGGCTTCTGCCGCCCGCGGGGACCCGGCACGGCCCCAGCCGCTCCCGCCGCCTTTGTCCTACCCCGGCCCGCCGGCCCGGCTGCGCTGCGGCGTGACCCGGCCCCGCCTCACCCCGGCCCTGTCGCCGCCGCTGCCTCGGCCCCGAGTCTTTTCCCCTCACAGCTCCCTGGGCGCCATCTTACATTCAACCCCCTGCAGCCAATCACCGCGCTGCCCCAGCCTCGCGAGAGCGCGGCTCCCAAGCCCCGCGAGAGCTCAGCTCCTAGGCCCGCCCCGCGCCTTAAAGGGGCCTGGCCACGGCGGGGCGCGGGTGCTGCCGCTGGGGGGCGCCCTGCGCGGAGGGGCGTGCGGCTGCGGGGACGCGCAGGAGGCGGCGGGGACCCGTGGGGACAGGGACAGGGACAGGGACAGGGACGGACCCCGCGCAGCCGGGATGCCCGGGACGCCATCAGTACCGCGTGGCCGTGGAGCGACGCCGGCCGAGAGCTTCCACGCAGCCGCCCCGCTCCTTCGCGGCGTGCGGGGGCAGCCCGGCCCCCATCCCCTCGCAGCGCCTGGGGAGAGGCTTCGAGTCGCGCCCGTGTGGGGCCGGACCCCGGCGCACGGGCTCCCGGGGAAGGGCGCTGAGGCCTGTGCGGCCTGTACCGGAGGGGCTGCGCCCTGCCCCGGGCGGCACCGCGGAGCGAAGTGTCCCCATGGAGGCGGAGAACGCCCCGCGGGACCGTGCCGGGTCTGCTTTAACGGGCCCATGTGCTCGGCGCGGCTCCCCAGCCCCGGCCGCCCTTAAGGTGGCCCGTGGGGCCGGGTAGGGTCTCCCTGCACTCGCTTCACCTCCAGGGCCACAGGCACGGGGCTCATGACACGGGTGTCACGCCAGTTCCGCGGGGACACCCCTCTGACCCCCAGCCCGGGGCCGAGCAGGGACCACCGCACGCGAGTCCACCTTAAGGGGGGAGGGCGCTGCGGCGGTGTTTGTACACAGTGTGCGCGCCCTGCTGCACCCCCCGATCCTGCCTGCACCCCCTGTGCCCTCCAGAGACACCTCTCCATTCCACCCCAACACCCTTGACGCCAGTCCAGCCTCATGGTGCTGGCTGGGGCAGCTGCAGCTCCCGTGGGGTCGCATCAGTGCTACACAGCACATAGGAGCAGAGCCTGTGCCCCCAGAACAAGGGAGAATCCCCACACGCACCCCACCAAGCCAAGGCTCATCAGGGGGGACAAACAAGAATCCCCACCCCAGCACCCCAAGACTGAGCAGAACAGGAGGCAGTGACAGTGCAGGGACAGGGCTGGGCTCTCCGTTTATTGAGGCGATGCTGTGGGGCACCCCAGGGAACTGCACCAAGGCACGGTGGCACTGGGGGTGTGCAAGGACCCCCAAGGAAGCAACACCACGGTGGTGTAGCAGCAGCGGGTCCCTCAGGCCTTGCCAGGGTCCTCCTTGAGCGTCACTGTCCGGTTGAACACCATCTGGAGAGAAACACAGGATCTGCTCAGAGCCCCATGGCGGGCAGGGGGTGCTTGCACAAGTGTGTGCAGGCTGCCTCACTGCCCCCACCCCACAGAGCTCACCTTCCCCTCCTCACTGTCAGGATCCACAGAGAAGTAGCCCAGGCGCTCAAACTGGAACTTGTCAAAGGCTCGAGCGGAGTGGACAGAGCTGTCGACCAGGGCATTGTGCACCACACGCAGGGAGTCCTGGCAGGGGGCACAGCTCAGCCAGCATCCCTACCTTCTGTCCTCTCCACAGCCCAGCTCCCCCCAGTTCCTCTTCCCCTTGAGACACAGTAAGGCCTTGCCCCAAGAGGGGTAGGGTGTACATGGCAGTGGGTGCCTCAGTGGCGCAGGAGGTCCCCACTTCCCCCCGAGCCCACAAACTCAGCTGCTGCCACTACTCACAGGGTTGAGGTCACTCAGAAAGCCACCAGGTACCTCCGATGGGTCCTCAGGATTTTTGTGCAAAAACCTGCCATGAGATAAGAGTCTGATCCCAAAGCTGCCAAATGAGGGGACATGGTGCCACTCATGGGACCCCAGAGCATCATCTTCCCCACCAAAGGTCTGGGCAGACCCCAGCAGGGCATGCTGCTGTAGAGCTGTGCTGCTGCTCCAGCACTGCTGAGCTTGTGCTGGCCTCGGCGGGCAGCCAGATACTCACAGCCGCTCGTAGAGCCGCACTTCACAGGCCAGTGGCACCGACACCCAGTGGATGAAAGCCTTGGGCTTTTCTGCCACATCCGACTTGGTGCAGGTGACCTCCAGCTCAATGACACGCCCACTGACATCCTGAGGGAGAGGAGATGAGCTAAGCTGTCAGGCTTATCCCATATGGCAGGCCCAGGGCTGAACCCCCAGCCCCACAGCTTGGGGACACCTTGTTCCCCAGTGTGAGGCACAGGGCAGGCAGAGAGCAGCCACACAGCAGCCTGAGCCCTCACTGTGTGCAGAGCAGCCAGCATGATATGACCATCGCTGTTCTTCCCTGCTGGGGCATGGCCATGTCCTGACATTCCACAGCCCAACCTCACGCCACCAGTGCCCACAGCCACGCACCTTGATGACATTCTGGACGGTGATGACGTAGCCAGCGTGGCGCAGCCCCACCGGCTGCCCGGGGGCCAGGCGCTTGTAGCCCTTGTCTGCCTCCTGTAAGAGAGTTCACGGCTGCACGCGGGGTCCCAGCACGGCCAGCAGGCCCCCGCTCTGGTGTGTCTCTCTGCCATCCCAGGGCTGTTTGAACTCCCACGTTGCTGTGGGATGTTCTCGCAGACAGGCCAGGTTGAGAACCATTGGTTGGACAAGTCCTGGCCAGGCTCAGGGCAGCATTTGCCCAGTGCCCATCAGAGCTGCTGGCCCATTTGGGAGTCACAGTCCAGGTGCTCAACACCCGCCTGTGACCTCTGTGTGCAGCACCAACACAACTTCCAGGGCTGCCAGGCTCCTGCTGCACAAGCTATAGCTCCAGGAGTGAGGGTAGTATAGTCCAGTGGGCCTGGCTTACCTCCCTGAAGTCTGTCTCCTCAATGTAGACGGTCTGGTGGAAGGGCACTTTGTGAAAACCACGGCTCTCATCGGCTGGAAAGTTGGGCACAAGGACCTCCAGTGCCTGGGGAGAAAGAGGGCTTGAATGCTGATCTCAAGGAATGCCACTCCCACAACAGCCCATGACAGTCTCACCTTTGGAGCAGGGAAGTTTGTGATGGTAACCTTGAGGGGTTCCAGGACAGCCATGGCACGGGGCGCCTGCTCATTCAGCACCTCCCGGGCACAAGCCTCCAGCAGATGCGGCTCCATTGTCGCCTGGGCCACTGTCACACCAACCTGAGGAACAGCGTGCTGTGACCATGCTGGCCAGGGGATGCAGCCATCTGCCCTGTCCCATCCTTCCCAAAACCTACCCGTGCACAGAAGTTGTTGATGGCCTCGGGGGGGAAGCCTCTCCGGCGCAGGGCTGTCAGCGTGAAGAGACGCGGGTCATCCCAGTCCCTGCAGAAACACCGGTGTGACAACCAGGCATGCTCTGGCTGAGCCCCATCACGGCAGCTGGCCCTGCTCCCACCTCACAGCACCCGTCTCCACCAGCCGGATGATCTTTCTCTTGGAGACGACGGTGTAGAGCAGGTTCAGGCGCCCATATTCCCACTGCACAGGGCAGTAAACATCCAGAGCGTTGCACAGCCAGAAGTAGGAGGAGCGCCTGCAGGGGAGGTACAGGCACAGCCCAGCTCAGCCACATGGACACACTCTCCCCCAGCACTATGGCAGCCACCAGATGCTGCTCCCAGGATAGCTCAGCCCTGGGCCATGCCATGCATGGTGCTCACCTGGCCTGGAACTCCTTGGTGCAGAGGGAGTGCGTGATGTGCTCGATGGAGTCGCAGAGGCAGTGTGTGTAGTCGTACGTGGGGTAGATGCACCTGCAAGGCACATGCAGTCAGCTCAGGGCAGAGCATGGTGCTGTTTCACTCCCGTTACCTCCTCACTACCAGGAAATCCAGACCCACCCCCACCACATGTGTCAGGACATGGCAGGCCCTCCCTACCACTTGTCCCCAGTGCGGTGGTGTGGAGTGAACTTGACACGGTAGGCAACGGGATCCATCTTCCCATCCTCCATCACCAGCTTCATCCTCAGCGTGGCTTCCCCCTCCCCAAACTTGCCCTTTCTCATGTCCTATGGAGACAGGGGAAGCTGTCAGCTGAGCCACAGAACCAGAGCCCACAGGCAGGCAGCATCTGCCCCAGCCAGGAGTACCTCAAAGAGCAGGAGTGACTCCTCCACAGGCCGGTCCCGCCACGGCGAGGGTGGTGGGTTGTGGCCCTTGATCTCCTCAACCTTCTGATGGCAGACATATGCCTGACCCCTACGGAGAGGAAATGCCATCACCAGACTTGAGTGACCCATCCCCTGGGCAAGGGGGAGCCCTGACCACGGTGCAGGATATCAACACCAGCCGGGCACATTCCTACTGCCCCACGTGCTCACCTGCGGATGAGCTCCAGGGCCCAGGTGTAGAGCTGGTCAAAGTAATCTGAGGCATGTGTCACTGCATAAGGCTGGTAGCCTGTGGGGATGGGTGAGATGGAACAGGTTGGAGGAAGCCCAAAGGTCCAGCTGCAAGACCTGAATGCAGGGGTGTCCCTGGCACCTGCCTTGATCCTGCCCTCCCCATGCCCAGCCATACCCAGCCACTCCACCATCTCCCGGATGGCTGTGAAGTACTTCTCCTCCTCCTTCTCGGGGTTGGTGTCGTCATAGCGCAAGAAGCACACGCCACCATTGGCCTGGGGATGAAGAGATAGTGAGTTGCTCTCTGAGGGACCAGCAGCCAAGCAGCAGGGAAAGGCAGGGGCCAGGGTGGCTTGGTGCTTTTTACCTTGGCATAGCCAAAGTTGAAGTTGATGGCCTTGGCATGGCCAATGTGCAGGATGCCGTTAGGCTCAGGAGGGAAGCGTGTCCGTACCTGAAGAGGCAAAGGGAACACCTCTCCCCTTCAGCAGGAGGTTTTTACCTTCCCTGACAGCAGTGACACTGACACGAGCCCCTGGCAATCCCGCAGAGCACCCTGTGCTGTGTGGGTGCTGCCTCTGCTGTGCCCCCTGTGAGCTTCATGTTCCCCACCCAGCCCAGCTGTGTCACTCTCACATGGAACCGCTGGGCTGTGGGATATGGCCTCACCTGCCCACCCGTGATTGCCAGGTGCTGCTTCAGCAGGGCCATCGTGTTGGGCGTCACCACGTAGCCCTCAGTCTTGTAGTTCTCTCCTGCAGGCAGAGGATGCTCAGGGCTGCAGCACTGCCCTAACCATGCCAAGCCCAGCAGCCAGGGGGGAAGGACACAGGACCTGTCCAGTCCTCTGCAGCACAGAGAGCTGGCACCAGGCACAGAGCCAGTGGAGTGGCCCCACATATGGCAGCAGCACCTTGCACTCACCTGGCTTGTGGAACTTCAGGGCCTCTCCTCTCAGCTGCTCCAGCAGTGACTGTGTTTCTGTGCCCATGTCACCTGCAGGGAGATAGTGCTGAGCTCCCAGCTCGGAAGCAGGTCCAGCAGGAACTAAAGGGCTGGGGAAGAGGATGGTCTCTTACCGTTCTCCACCACAGCCACCTTCTGTTTCTCTGCTGGGGCCAGACGGGCCTTTGCCACCTGCAGAGACCAGCACAGCACACTGAGTGCCCAGCTGTAGCACAT